TTAATACGCGTTGTACTCTTTTTCCCTTACAAGGTTTTGTCCCACTGGGTTTTCCTTGCAAGGTTTTTAACGAGGCAACCAAAATGCGTATTGTTAGATATGTGTACTCTTTTTCCTTCTCTAGAATTTTTTTCCCACTTGGATTTATTTTAGTTAAGGTTTTAACGAGGCACATTATCTATTGAATAGACATTCAAGGGAGAGTGTTATGAATACAATTATATTTATGGTGAATGTCTATATTTAAAGAGATTCTAGGGTTCATTGCTTGGTGGCTAAGCCACCCTCTCCCTATAAATAGAGGGTTTTATTCTATTGTAATTCATCCTAAATATCAATAAGAATTCTCTCTCCCTACTTTTCTCTGCAATACTACTCTTTTTCTTTTATTGTTTTATAACAATTATAGTTTAAATAGTGCATCTAAAAGCGACCGCATGGTTCCTAATTCTACAGTAGTCACTCGTCAGTATTAGTAGTTTTTCCTCAACCCATTCTTTAAGTAGAATTTTTGTTTTTATGTTCGTACAGCAAAATAAATTATTAAGTTATGGGATGCTAAAACGTCTACTACGGAAAATTGGTTTTTAATTAGTCGTTCTAGAAATATGACGAATGCTTAATTACATTCATAACACAAGCACACTTATATTATCTCGAGTTTTGAATATTTAGGAATAGTCCCCTTCTCTGAGAGAAATTTAACTCGCTAGTTGTGAGGGAAAAAAAATCAATCTCGTTAGTACCACGTGAATTAACTTTAATAATGTTATTTTTAAATTTTTGATAAGATAATCCTTAATTTAAAAAAAACACGATCCAAATATCTTGAAATTTATGGAGAAATAAAACGTTGAAATTTAACTTTCATGGAAACAGTACATCTTAAACATGATTTTTTTTTTTTAGCTTAAATAAGTTTGATGCCTATTGATCCGAAAGCTGAGCTATATATTTTTCATTTTCCTCTAGCCTTGTAGTGAGATAATATATTTTATCACATTCCTTGACATTTAGAAAAATAATACTATTTCTAGATTTAAACAAATTCAATGCATATGGATCCGAAAGCTGAGCTCTGCTTTCATTTATTTGTCTCTAGCATTGTAGTGAGACAATAATATTTTGGAAAAAACACAAAATTGGTCGGTCGGCCAAAAATATTGGCCAAAACATAAAATTGGCCAAAAGGTATATAAAAATATTTCTTTTTGTATATAATACACATATATCTACAAAATATATATTTTTCTTGGATATTATTAATTTTTAGGAGCAGCTAAAAATATATATTTTTCTAAAATTTTATCATGGGCTATGGGCATTAAGTACTGTGCAATACTTTGACGTAAGCCTACAGTCCTAAAAATCCTAAATGCATATTCATATATATATGTCCTTTGACACGATTAATGTTATTCATCAGACTGCCAAAATACAACGGTACAGAACAGGCGAGATATGCCAATTTGATCACTAAAGGCAAGGTCTGATTCACTTTTTTCCTTACAATGGATATCATCAACTAAGTCTAAGAAAATTTTAAATTTCCACATATATGATGTCATGAGCTTCTAAATTTAGTAAAGGCGCATCACTGTATTTTGTGCGAGATCTTGGATAAATGATTTATTCGGGATTTTATATACGACTTCTTCCATTATCAGGATTAGAAATTAAGTACAAGTAACAGTCTTGTAAAGTTTAAACGTGAACAGATTATAAGAAAAAAATGTTAATAACCATCTAGATTCATTATTTACTTTTTCTAATTAGTATATACACACAAATTCTTTAATTTGTTAGACATGAAAATTTTGATGAAATCATAGACGGAAGTCGATCGGAACCAATTGATACTTGGCTTTGTATGTTAGCCCACAACTCAAATGACATATGTCTGGTGCTTTCACAGGGGCATGTTACGTGAAGATCATTAACAAAGATGCATGCTTGGCTATAAAAAGTAATAAGGATTACCCTGGTTCCTTCTAATATTAAATCAAAATTTATCAATACCAGCGAAAACGAGCTAAATATTGCATAATGGTTAGAAAATAAAGGAATAACGAATGCAAACTTGCAAGAATAAGAAGCAACTTTTTTTTTTTGAAAAATATTTTTTTAATTATAATACCATTAAAGAAAGCAGGTCACACGTAAAGATTTTAGGAAGAACCGAAGAAGACTTCAAAATTAGAAGAAGAAAAGGAGGAAATAAAGAGAAACACACAATGTGGATGAGGACTCTCTTTCAGATTATTCTGTGGCTTGAAATTAGGGCGCGCGGCGGCAGTGCAATACCCATCACTGCATGAGTTGCATGGCCTGTTCTGCGCTCCCAGTTCATGTTCATCCTCTTGCCTCATTTTTTGGCTTTACGAAAATTAATTTTCTTTTATTTTTTGACATAAAAAAAAGAAGAAATTCGTTTTATTTAAAGACAACAAAAAAAAAAGGGGGCTCTAGTGAAACAGAACCTTTCAATACATGTTTGGTTCTTTTTTTTTTTAAAAAAAAAAATCATCTTCCGGATAAAGAACGAACAAGAGTAAAAACTAAGTTTCTCTGGTGTTATTAGTCCGATAGTTTACCATTTGGGGCAAAGGCGAAGGGTACATTCGTAAAACTTGAACTGAAAATTGAAATAACATAGACAGAGAGGGAGAGAGAGAGTGTATGTGGGGCATGATTAGTGGATTGTGATTCGTTAATCCAGCTTAAGTAGCATTCCGATGTGGTCTAATTAAGTCATAATACTGATGAAATCTTTCTTCAATATTTAGAATCATTGCAATTAACTTTTGAATTTTTTTTTGGATAATCACTTCGAAGAATATATATTTTTGTGTGTGTATGAAACAAAACCAATGTAGCTTGATTTGAAAGAAATCGGTGGATTATCAAAGCTGCGAGAGGATGATTTAATTTACATTACCCACAATTTCTTTCCTCTTTCTTTCGGGACTTCTTAAATTTCTCTTGACTTTTAAAAAAAAATGACTTCGAATGATGCACACAAATCCAAAAAACATAAGGCCTATGTTCTCAAGATAATGAAATTATCGTCTATCCTATGGCCTTATGGGCATAACGTTAGCAAAGCTTTGACGTATGGTACACAGTCCCAAAACCCTAAAAAGCATATCCTAACGTCAAATGTGTATAAGTAAAGTTTCAATATAAAGTACCAAAATACAATGACATAGAACGTGAAACATGCCAATTCCGTCACCCTAGTAGTAATTTTTTCTTTTTATAAGGTTGGCTAATTGGCCTTTTTTGAAAAAAGAAAATAGAATAAAAATAGAAAGAAGAAATAAAAAGTGATAGACCATTGGGGAATTGATGTGATGTTATGCGTGAACCTTTAATAGGGGAATATGCTAATAATAGAGACGTATTGCTACCTGGTTCTTTGAAGCAAATTGGAAATGGCCTTCTTATATTGCATCATTATAACTCCAAATTTAGTAAAAACATTTTTGCGAGATTCCGGATAAAGAAGGATATGATCCAATTGTTTATTGGGGTTTATCATAAAAGAAAATAATAGAGAAAGTACAACTTGTGACTTGGAATCTTTACATTAATAGAAAGTACAAGTAGCTAAGCACACATTAATTACATGATTAAGAAATTGTACATAGGCCGGCAATGGTTGACTGAATTGGTTGGATGAGTGGTTTTCCACCTGACAGACCTGGGATCGATTCCCCGCACTAGCAGCCTCCTTGGTCAGAGTTTGTCGCATCGGGATTGCCTAGTTCAGTTTACATCTCCTGTGTAGTTTGCCAGCTTATTGCACAGTGAGCAGATTATCCAGTGCGCACCCAAAGTATAGCAATTGAGGATTCTTTGGGAAGAAATGATACATATATATATACTTGGAACAACATTATTTTCTTCATGAAATTAGCAAAGATTCTTTGTTACGTTTCATTTGATCCCTCATCTTTTAAGCTAGACAAATGGAGTCCTAACAGTGAGATAAGTTTCAAGATAAGTTCCATAATGTCGAGACTGTATTCCAAGCAATTCGCACCGATATGGTATTTTTTTTTTCCCCTTGTGTTCTAATGCTGCACCTTATTTTTTAAACGGTTTAATTAAACGACCGATGTCATTTTTTGTTAGTGTTTCATTTAAGTAAAAACGTCAATTGAGTCAAGTTTAGAGAAACGCTAAAAATTCTTAACATTCTTTTAAAGAATAGAGGACTAAAGTAACCATTAAAATTCTTTAAATTCATAACCAAGAAATAAATTAATACTTCTTTAATCTAACAATAATGATAAACGAAACTTACAATTGTTAACAATTCGATCATGATATTTATATGATAGACGAAATATATGCATATCCAATTGACCATTGTTCTATGGCTCATCCTTGTGTCAAGTGGGTACCCCTTTTTAGTTTCAAAAACATATATGTGTTTTCTTAAATATAATTTACATATAATAAATATATCAAACTTTTCGATAATTAAGGAGTAATACCCTTCATCATATATCGGGAAAATGACTTATTTTCTGGAAAATATTTTCCTGCATTAATTTATTTGGAGAGTTGAAAGAAATTATTAATAAAGATTGATAATAAATTCTAGTTAAGTGTAAATTATTTAATAAATTAAATATTGATAATAATTTCTAGTTAAATGTAACTTAAAGAAATGATACAAAGTTAAATGTTGAGATAATTACGAAGAAAATGATTTCCTCCCATAAGTCAGGAAAGTCATTTCTTCCGATGGTAAAAAATAATATTTTTTTTTTGGTTTAAAAATTATTTTCTGGCAACTGATCGAAATATTAGTCCAGTAGATGATTAGTTTTCAGAAAATATTTTTCTGTCATACCAAACAGACATACTTCCAATGGGTTCCAACTATTTGGCACCAGAACCTTGCCAAATAAAATAAAAAATTAATTCCAGTCTATAGGGACAGCATAAATTAAATTTTCCCAGATATATTCATCAGATCACAAACCAAATAAAGCAAAGCTTAAACAACTCTTGATTGTTGTTTCAAAGAACAACTGTGTGGACTAATTACTCTAAAACTAGACAATCTCCATATCTCAGCAAAAGAGGAGTTTTCATTTTTCATATTCCAAAACAACAAATAATCCAGGAAGATCAAATGAACGATCATCAAATATACCTATATCTCAACCTAAGGTATAAAAAAAATGGAAAGAGAGGTGACATCAAAATCCCTCAATCTTTTCCATTTACTATATATTAGATGTTTTTTTTAAAAATCTAATTCTAGCAAAAAGAAGGCATGTTATTCCAGCAACATCCTCCAAGTTCCCAATCATGATTCCTAGGCCCTGAATTTGCCACAACTTGTGACTTATTGAAATCTTCAGCCTGATTTTCAGCTTTGTGATCACCATTTGTCACATTTGACAATTGTCCATTTGAATTATTTTTGCCATCCCTTTCGTCATACCAATCAGGAACTGGTACAGCTAACGGAAAATTATCAAGAAGACACATTATATCGTCATCCACTTGATTAATTCCCTGGAATGAAACTTCCTTGTTCAATATCCCTATTATAAAGAAAATGTTAGGATCGAAATTATCAGGTTTTATGTGGAAGCTAACAACAGATAAAAATTGGTTTACTATGATAGTTAAATTAATTACCTGAAGGTAAATTGGGATCAGGGCTGGAGCTTTCAGAGTTACTATTTAAGGTGACATCGACACCATGAGCAAAGCTGTAAACAGATTCTTCAGTTAAAATAGCTTCTTCTCCTTCCTCTTCCACTAATCCATAATCTTCCCATAATGATTTCCCTTTATAATCAGCTTCTTCTTCCTTTAAATCAAGATAATTATTCTGATCTTCTATCTTGACATCGCGAGTAGTCAATGTCTGAGACTCCTCCAATAAATCTTGCAATAATCCACTATTTCCTCGCGATAATCCAGCAACGTTTGCATAATTATTAGCATCACTTGAGCCAAAATCACTACCTGTATTCTCAGATGATGATGCAGTTACAGGGATAGATGATTGTCCTGAGGGGTAATTAATATTATTAATACCCCCTATACCAGAGATTAATTCATTTGGATTCGAATGAATATTCCCCGTAAAAGGCCTTGTTGTGAAGTTATTAAAACTTGGATAGTTATTTTGAAATGATGGCACTGGCACTGGCACTGGCATTGAATTGGACAAGCCGTGACCAAAATTGTTATTTGGCACTGATGTTGGTAGTGAAGAAAATTGAGAATTCCTTATAGATGATGGCAATGTCAAGGAAATGCCTTTCGGAGGATCGCGAAAAATGGTGTTATTATTAAGAGGGAATTGTATAGAAGGTTTCATGGTTGAAGGATTGAAGATATCCAAAAGGCAAAAAGATGGAGGATTGTTATTACTATAAGTTGCCCTTTTGGGATCATATGGTGAAGAAAGAAGGCTTTGGTGTTGATTGTTTTCTTGTTGGTTTTGTTGTTGTAATTCTTGAGGATATATAGGCAAACCAGCTCTTTGTCTTCTCTTTAGCCTTGTGTTCCAGTAATTCTTGATCTCATTGTCTGTTCGTCCAGGTAGCTATAATTCATGAAATAAACACCAAATAGAATTAGACAAGTTGTCATCATTTGATCAAAAGACAAAAAAGAAGAAGAGTTAATTAATTAATTAATTATGAGGTCAATCCTAAAGTGAACTTTAGATTCAATAGAAAGGTCAGAAAACTAAAGGGACAGAACCATCAACATCACGTAATCTATATATGTTCATCAATAAAATTTATTACAACAAAATTACGCCCAAAATTCCCACTCAAATGGTGATGAACTTAAAGAAATAAAAAATAAGATTAAATAAAAGCAACAATAACAAAAAAAAAAAAAAAGAATCAAGAAGATTACTAAAGCAGAGAATTAATAACTCTCTAAAGGATCCCTTTATGGAAAATGATTAGTTTGGTTTGTAAAATCAATTCAAGGATTGAAAATAGAAACATACAAGATCCTAAATATATGCATGAAGATGGTTAATTTGCGTAGGAAAAATAAAGGACATAGATAAAGATTGTTCAGACATATGACCTATTATTAGAATCTTTACATGTAAGAATAAATGGATATGCAAAATATAAAAGGAAACGAAAACAAAAAACAAAAATGAAAGAAAATCAACCTGAGCAGCCATGCGAGCCCATTTGTTGCCAAATTTAGCATGAAGCTCAATGATAATCCTTTCTTCCTCAGGAGAAAAAGCACCTTTCTTAAGATTAGGTCTAAGATGATTAGCCCATCTTAACCTACAACTTTTACCACATCTCATCAATCCTGAATTCCTTTGAACAGCATTCCAATTACCTTCTCCATGCTTCTTCACGTACTCCATTAAAATCGCGTCTTCTGTTGCTGTCCATGGCCCTTTCTTAAGCGCTTGCCTGCTTGTTCCTCCGTTTCTTCCTCCTCCTGGCGACACCTTCGCTCCTCTATCGTCTGGGGCCATCAACCCTTCCTTTTTTTCCTGAAAAAGAAAAAGTAAAAACACGGTAAGATATAAACTTTTATTTTTTTCCTATATAATCATCTGGTATTCGACACCCGCTGACTGACTAATTTAGATAGAAGAGAAAACTTATAGAATTCTTTTTATGGGCTTACTCACAATCCAATATAGATGGAAGATAAACCAAAACTTAAAACTTCTATTCTCTTTTTCTTCTGTTTTTTTTTTGGTTGTTTTCTTGTGATTTGACAAGGATATGAAGGAGAGATGGATGAGAAAGAACAAATTAAAAGAGAGGATGACAAGTTCAAGAAAAATGTTTTGGGGGTGATGGGAATTAATGAAAGAAACTAGCTAGATGGAGGTGGGGTGGGTGGTAAGGGGTAGGGGGTTAGAGAAAGGCATGAAATTGTTTTGGAAAAAATAAAGAAAAGAGGGAAATGTTGAGAATGGAGAGTGTGTGAAGAGAAGTGAGATAAGAGAGAAGGAGAGGTGGTGAGTATTTATAGGGTGAGCTTGTATTTCGTCCCCGGCTTGCAAGCTCTATGCTTCAATATTTTCCTCTCCCTTCTTGGTCCATGCTTTTAATCACTTACCTTAAAGTTCCACAAATGTGCCTAATATTTGCATTTTTCTCATAAAATAATAATTTCATGAAATTTGGCAAAGAAAAATAATATTGATTTTAAATTTTAATATAAATCTTTCATCCATGTAAAAATTATATTGAATTGAACTAGTTAACTTACTTAAAAGGAAATTTCACTTTGATTTATTAAATCAACATTTATTGAAATGCTTACTTAAATTAATTTTTGTCGTTATCCGTCTTGACAGATCAATATCAGAAATTCTCTTACTACAAACAATATTTTTTATTTCTACAATATGATTATCAGATTATCTGCAATCTCACTAATACAAAGTATTTTTATATGAACCAGGACCACCTAGCTTAAATCGTCGTCTGAAAGAATGAGGTCGAGAACTAAGGGTGTGCGTTACTCGGATTAAACCGAAAAAACAAATCAAAATTTCAATTTAGATTGATTTTTCGGTTTGATTTTGGATTGAGAAATTTTATATATATATATATATATATATATATATATATATATGTGTGTGTGTGTGTGTGTGTGTGTGTGTGTGTGTGT